TTAATTTTGACATAGTTTTATTGCTTAAGCCGAAAAGGGCACTAAACGTAAAGCAGCTCCTATGAATAGTACTGCGGAAATACCAGTCCCCTTCGAAGGTTCGGCAAAGATTCACCTCGTGATAGCTTGACAGTTAGCAAGGGATTTGTTGAACACAATACTCAGTTCAGTTCGGTAGGATGGGAGAGGATACTTCTGTCAATGTTTCCGCGATATTGCAAAGGAGAGCCTCACATGCTTGGTATCAAATTCTGTTTACGGTTCAAAACTAAACGAGGGCAAAGTGAAATGCAGTAACATTCTCTTTAATAAGCCGTTTAACCAAAATGAAAAGTTTCAATCCTTAAAAGGTGTATCAGATCAAGAGAAGAGAAAACTTCCTCCTTTTCTTAAATCAGTTGGACTTTTCTGATCGCAAAGTTACACTTGGTTTCAGTTGGGTCAATTCCTAATTCCACAATAACGCGTGTTCACCTTGTCGGTAATTGCAATGTAGCGGGAAGTTTCCTGGTGAAGATCCTCATTTATTTGGATTTATCAATATTTTCATTATAGTCTTTCCAGAAATGACCTTTATGATAAATGGACTGGAGTTCCTTAGAAGCGTATGCAAATGTTGTTATGAGATCGTTGTCACGAAGAATTAATTCAGGAAGTCAGCCGTCCAAGGAATGTAACACATTAGAATACAATTAGAGTACACATTAGAGTACCGCTTACTGCCTTTCGATAACCGAGATCAACTTATGGAGTTACGACGACGCAGACCATTTAGAGTTTCCTTTAAAACAAATCGGTTCAGAGATACTTCATTCCAGCAAGCGCTAGACATTTTAACTAACATTTATTACAATTGTATATGTAAATTAGTTCCCTTATAGGTTTGATTTTATTGTATAGTTCTATTACATAATTTGTACACCTTTGCAATTCAGCTTCCAGCTGCTATTAAGGTATTCTTCTTAATAAACGCCTATCTATAAACGTCTATCTATCTAGAATAGTCTGGATTTAGATTCATGTACATTTGAAAACATTCACTGGAAACGTTCAGGAAAAAGAGCTCAGCCTAGGATAAGAGAAAGTTAAACGAGTAAATACATTTCTAAAACGAGCATCAAAATCAATTTGAAAAGTCTCCTTGTTCCCGAGCAATCCCTTTCCCAGGTTCTCTCTTATTCGAGCCTCCCTCTCACTCCCTGAGGCAGTAGGAAGAGAGCGCCTGGGAACAGCTTTGGCTCTTGGATCTTGAAGACCAGGTTTTCAAACAATTCAACTTCAGACATTTAACCGAAATTTTTGTACGCATTTTCTTTAATATTCGAGCTCTTGCAAGCTTGATTTTGAGAAGAATTTAATCAAAGGCACACTATTTATTTCGGTAAGAACTCAAATGTATTAATGTTTTACGAGTAAAATCCCTAATTTTGTTTCTGTTGAGCAAGAACGAATAGCCTTAACCCTTAATGAGTGACCGAGACAGAATTTCTCCTTACAATAGCAATACAATATCAAGCAGACAAGTGATGAGAATAAAGAAAAATATCAGTTAGGGGATTAAAACTTGATCCAATACCAAATTCTCCAAACTAACATTATAAGAGTTGTATGGCGGGCGGTAAGGAGAATTACTCATGAGATCTAGGGACAACCTCGTTCCCAGGGTCCCTGGGAACGAGGTTGATCTAGGGAGTGAAAGGGTTAATTAGGCCAAAATGCTCCGTCAGGAAAAAAATTAAACAAAAAAGGGAAAAAAAAAATAAATGATTAAGAATATCTAATGACTATCGAACAAATTAAACAAGAACCTGATTACTCTGTTATAGTCATTTTATTTTTTCTGTGCTGAAGAAAGCTAAAACTGTCGCTTTGAAACATGCAGTTTGGGAGTGTCAAACTACAAACTAATAAGTAGTGTCTCGATCTTTTCTTATGCAAAGAAAAGAGTTCTAGAAATAACAGGATGTCGGAATAGAGAGAGACGGAATTTGTAATAACTAACCAGCAGATATCTCATTCCTGCCCTCGAAGTCTTTGATGACACGTCAATCACTAAATGAGCTCAGAACGACAAGTATTGACATCTGATGATGTTTAAAATTTCCGAAAAAGGCGATTAGTAAAGCGAAACTTGAAACTCACCGGACTGACTCGCGATGCAGGGTCAATACTGGAATACAGCTTAGCGTAAAAGAAATTCCTCGTTAAACCCTATTTTGTGCCCACAAGAGAGTGAGTAATCCACAATCTTCCAAATCAGACACTTTCGGGTATATCGACTCACAACGCTAAAGAAATTCAACTGTCTTATTTAGTTTTCCCATGGATATCAGTCAACAAAAGCTCTTCATTTTGGTGTCATCGTCCGCTCAGTAGAGATGTCTGACTGCGGACTCATTCTTTAGTAAATTTGGAAGAAATTATTAGCGCTTAGGCTAGTCAGTCCGTCCAGTAGTAGTTTTGCCTTATATGTTCTGTACTCTATCGGTATCTTTTCTTTTACAGCTGTAAAATTCGCAAAAGAAGTCTGCAGAACGATGCGTCGTCCAGGAGTCACTGCAGTCTTGTTCGTGTTCATTCCTTGTTTGGTTTCCTCCGCGGAGATTCCAAATATCATGCCGGGTGATGTCGCCCCTTCTTTCGTTCTTCAAGCTATGGAAGCAATTCATGGTACCGACGTACTTCTCAAATATGGAGGCAACGATTCCAACATCCAAGGACCCATTGTGTTCCTCGCGTATACAAAGCGCTCAGGATTCTTAGAACGTCTCATATCCAACCCAGATTGCTTCAAGATTCTGATGGAGAACTCCCCTGACAATACGAATTACGTGTTCCTTTTTTATGCGACTTCTTTTTCTTCCCTCAAAGATGCTGCCGACCAGCTCGCTCGGAGATTTAAAGAAGCAATGTATAAATACTATTTTCGGTAAGTCAAGTTTTTTTCTAAAATTTATCTGAATAATGAGTTGCGAAAGTCATGAGTGGGTTTCTTCAAAGAATTTGCCTCAGCTTGGCAGAAACAGAGCAAATAGATTTAGGATGCAATTTTTGAAAACAAACAAACCAAGTCTTGTGATCCGGAAATCATAAAGTTCACTTCCCTTCGTTAAACCTGAGGGGAGATATTTTATACCATCTACAAACGCTGTACGAAACTGATACAATCGGGAAGATTTATTGAAATTGGAGCTCAGGCAATCTGAATTTTCGGTATGATGACTTCTTTACCTCCGAGGGTGTTAAAGTTTTCATACCAGGGTCAGATGAACTATCGCAACAGCGATATCAATCCCTGTGTAAACGCTGGCCAAGAGCAAGGGTGTTATTGGATTAGTTATTCTGAGATTTACGCATCTGCCTTTTAAAAATGTCCGCCGTTAATATCATACACCTATGACTCCTCGCGTTCAATAATTCTATTTCATTAATTGCACTGCCATCAACAATTCGCTGCAAATGTGGATCTTGCTCCGAGTAAAGAATTCTAATAAGAGCACTTTTGACAATAGCCGCGCGTTTAGATTTAGTGTTAAAAGAAAACTAACGCGCTTGATTGTCAATAACACAACACAAACAAAATGAGCTTGAAATGGCACGTCCCAAAAATTATCAAAGCTTGCTGTTTACATTTGATACAACTGTAAAACCAGATCACAGAAAACTTTTCCTGTCTTGGCTTTCCTCAGAAAAGAGATTATAATCTCTTGTTATAGATCAGTTTTTAAGACTTTTATTTTCGAGATAAAAATTAGCGGTAAAAAAGCACAACGTTTGGACCTCTCCGAGCTCGTTCTCAAGTGAGTAAAAGTCTTCTAAATTAGGATAAAAATGTAGAAAAAGTTGAAATGGGCAAAAGTGTGGCGTACGCCTTTTGAAATTCGTGATTAAATCATGAATGTCTGAAGGAAACTTGTGGGTCGGAATTCACAAACTTCATTGCTATTGCAGATCCATTGGATTCACCCGGGTACGCAGATTCCCTGCCTTGACCGCGAGAATGGGAACGTTACTGGATTTCAGTAACAACTGGCTTTCACGGGTACATTTTGCATCATTTCCTGTATTTACTCTCGGGAATTGGATCCCGCGGGTATTATCCCAATGGTACTGTTCCGGGCACGGGTGTGGCTTTGCCCAGATCGTCACTGAAAATGAAAAAGGTGATACTATTTGTGTAGAGAAAAGTGTGTTAAACACAAGAAACAAGCAGTAGTCAGAGAGAGAGACAATCGGGCAGGTTGCCTGACGATGCTGATTCCAGGAAGTTAACTTGAGGTGGCTGAACACAGTTTTCGCGCGCGCTTTTGCTAATGCAATTCAGCGCGCGCACAAGGATTGTAAAGAACAAACATGCCGGTCTTTTTATTTACTCTACACGTACCCGCACTATCTGTGCTATTTTTCTCTATAGGTGGCGCAGTGTATTACAAAGATGTGTTGGAAAAGTTAACGGTGCAAAGAACCCAGCAATTCTCAGTTTTTTCTTTGTAACTGAAAGAACCCAGTTAAATGAAGCGCATGCGTAGTAAGTAAAAGAATTGCGACTGAATGAAAAATTACTTTGTCGGAAATATGCCTATTCCTCGAGAACCACTCATTAGAATTTCACGAAATTTGGCACGAAAATACTTTAGGAAATATATAACTGGAGTGTTGGAAAAAATTTGATTTTAAATAAAGGAAATTCTAGAAAATCGAGTGAACCTTCAACAAGGGATAATTGAAGATCTCTTTTAAGTTTCTAGAAAAATGGTGTTAACTTATGAGTATCGTTGCAAGCTCGTTGCATGCAAATTATAAAGAAAATCTAATCATGACTAGATTTTCCGCAAAGAAACAAAACCGATTTTAATTGCCTGTTTATATCTATTCATGTCGCCATGGCAACGGCACATACGTCAGCATAACTATCAGAAAAACAAAGTTTGTGTTGTTAACTTGCTTGCTGCCAGTTTTGGTGACCGAGAGATCAAGGGTTTTAGAGAAAATGGCGAAAGAAACAAACGTATCAAAAACTGTGTTTAGCCACCTTAAGCCGGACTCAAACTGAAACGGAAGTTTTCTTTTGCAGACGTTCGCACTGTAGATTCTTGCTCCAAAATATTCTTACCCTTCTTTCTACAAGTCGTTTCTAGCGGAAAAACCAATCAGTAGGTCAGTCTTCAAGCAGACCTATTGGAAACATTCGCTCTCACGAACGGCTAACGCTCGGAACGTCAGCTTATAAACTCTTTAAGGTGGCCCAATTTACATTATCAACTTAGTTGATAAAACCAAATTACTGTCGGAAACAAACTTTCGCACTGCCGAAATCGTCTGTAAATAACTTTAGGGAAGACAGAGTATCCCAAAACTAAGACCAGGAGCTTTTAGTTCTGTTCCTTCTTCGTAAATAGTAGTAAATACCAAAGCTTTACTTGAGCTTTTTCTTTTTATCTAAACATTACACATTCTGTGCTCAAGTTGTGTTGAATACTCTTAGGAAAGGACACTAGTTTGTTTTGATTGCGATCTCGTCGCTTTCGTTGTTTGAATATCACTGCTGATTACTTGTACATTTGGCTCTGCTGTAGGTGAAATCCACGATGTGTCAAAGCGTTTAGATGCGCGCTATGATTGGCTGCCGTCTCCAGACACGCTCGCCAAATATGGACACTTGCAAGTGGCGTTTGCTGGCGATGCTTGCAATGCCAGCTCGTTTGTGAGTCCCGTAAATGATAAACTTGCCCTAGTTTCAATTGAGGGCGTCCAGTGTTCTTACTTTATAAAGGTTAGTTCCTTTTCTTTCCTCAGCTTCTCACAAGCTTTGCCTTAATATCCTTTGTCATGCTATGAGGCTAATTTCGAAAAGAGGTCAGTTATCTGAAGTCAATCGTACGACAAAGAAAAATATCGCACCTCGTTAGACTCAAGCCTTTGACTTTCTAATTTTTCTTCAGTTCGGATACTCTACAAACTAAACCACAGAGAATGCGTTGGCGAGCAAAGCTAATGCAGCTCTTAACAGCTTAATTTACCCTCTGTAACTAATTGTCTTTCACTTTATCCCCCAGGTACAAAACTGTCAGAAAAATGGCGCTCTTGGTGTCCTGGTGTTTCCTAACCCGACCCAGGCTTTGCTAGACATGAACTGTAACGGTTCAGAGTGTAACACACAGCTCAACATCCCAGCATCCATGATTCCACATAGTATTGGATATAGTTTAAGCAAGAGCAGTGGTATTTACGTCCGTTTTCAGACCACGCCCTCAGACACCTTTGTATTTGGAATTGACGGAGAGGGTAAAGTGGAGGAAACTGGCTGGTTTTTGTATCCGTCCATGCTCTTCCTGGCGTATCAGGCACATTGGTGAGGTTTCATTTAAACCTGGCTTCTGGAATAGTGTATTTGTCTTATGGAGATGTTGGTGGTGTGTGTCTTTTTAACACTTTAACAAAAGTATTTTACGTATTAGGTACTAGTATTAGTGACTACAGATTTCTATTTATTGCACACGTGGGCAGGATTAGAGGGTTAATGGTTATTAGGTCTGTCATGCATTAATGTCTCCATTTCAATCCTGGTTGGCCTCAGGTATGCAGCTGATCATTTGCTGCATACTTGAGGCCAACCAAGCTCTTGTTGGCACTGCTTCCGTTTTTGTAATACCTAAGAGTAAAAGAGCTAATGCCGTGTAGAATCGTCGTCGCACCCTAGCCTACCCTAACCAGGCCCTGGCTGATAACACACATTTCGGCTCCAATATTTTTTTCGTTATGCCCAGCCTCATCCAAAAAATTCTGAATACTTATAATTTTAATCAATGTTGAGAGAAAATTGCTGATATTAGGTCTCGTCAACGGGGAAATGTTTGATCATCTATTGAGGAAATCGAGAGTGAAGGTGATAGTTGCAAACCTTGCGGCACAGCTAAAGTTGACCCAATTAAACAAATGAATATGCTACTGATACTTCTGACAGAGTAAACTACAAATCTGTTTCGGCTGCTGGGAAAAATGATGCATTTGTTGCTGTTGCTTTTTTTTTGTTTTGTTTTGTTTTGTTTTTTTCAGTGCGCTCAGGTCGGCTTAGGATATCATACTTTCCAACAATGGCGGAAACCGACCTCCCAGCTTGGTCAAGAGCGGAGTCATACCAGCGAACATCACATGAGGATTTTAATCCTTTATATATATATATAGGTCCAGTTATTCGTATTTTACAAACAAAAGCCCAACTTATCATTATCTTTGTAAATACAGGTTTAACTACAAAACGCAATTGTTGAAGAACTTGACAACAGGAGATGCGGTGGTAATGAACGTGTTCAACCACAGTGTGATGCAGGGAGAGAAAGGGGTCAGCGGTACTATTCATCTGCCTTCTATGAATGGTAAGATACAAGTCAAGAAAAAGGTGATTTGTCCCTGAATGTCCGTAAGACGATGCAGGAAGCCGATCTAGGATTCAGTCTGCGCTTAGGACAACATGTAGGAAATAGCGCGGAAATATTTCTGAAATTTTAAGCATAATTTGATGATATTTGACCATTATTTTAGCACTAAAATATTATAAAAATAAAATCATCACGTGTTCGTGTTTGTGCTCTGTTTTTTCTGTCCAGTAAATGTTGAATCTGTCAGAAGTTATTTAGGCTTCGATGGCTAAAAACCAGTTTTTGATCCATGGTAGGATCAAGGGCAAAATTGTTTTCTTCGATATTTTTTTAAGATCTATATATTAATGACTTCATTTAAGTTCATTGCGAATGTCACAATCACAATCACAGCTGACGTTTTTGCTTCTCTTTCGAAGACCTCCAGCGTTATGAACACGTGGAATTGGACTTCGCTTTGTCGTGCCCAGGCTCTAGAGACGAAACTTGCGCCAAATGGGATCACGTGATACAGCTGTACGTTTGCTGTAATTCCACAAGTGAGCTGTGTGGACTGGAACTAGGTAGATGGATAACACCCTTTAGACGGTATGAATAGAGACCAGAGACAAGTACAATTGTTACGTTTTTGTCAACAACATGATAAGTCAACGCATTTTGAATTAGCTGAAATGATGTTAAAAACATCACAATTTTGACGATCATCGTCTATTTATTTTCGCACAGACGTATTGGACGCTGGTTGACGCCAGTTAAACCGCTGATCCCTCTGCTACAATCCGCTGATTCCAGCTCCGCCAACACTTGTAACTTTACCATGAAAACAGTTCCCTGGGCAATGGCGTGGGTCCCAACACTTAACATCAGACTCGTTGGCAAAATACAAGGTATTACCCTAACTCAGCACTGCACAACGAAACCTTTCTTCCAATCAGTTTCACGGGGTGCTTATTAACTCTAATGATACCTTTTTGTACTCCGTTTTGCTCAACTGTGGAAATTTAGAGAAGTCTATTGGTTCTGTACGTTGCTGCGTAATAATAGACTTTTAAAATTTTTTCTGTTTTATCTGTGAACTCAAACACAAAGCATTTTAGCAAAATGCCACTGCTGGGATTCCCAAGGTGTGAGTGTTTCGGACGTGCTCTCCCAATTCTGCACACCAAACTTGCGAGCGCACTAAAACACTCCCGTCTGAAGACCGAATCAGTCCATCAAGATTCATCAATATCTATCATCGTTGTCTTCTCCATCATTAAAGTTAAATCGAATTTTATTACCTTTGTCATTTTTTCTTACACGATACATTTTTTATTCACAGTATTAGACAGGTACGAGACATTTCACTCCAGGGAGAAAGCTCTTGTTCCAGTAGAGGTCATACCACTCTTCAGAGGAGGAACCTTCGATAAGAACTACAACGCCAAATACAGACCCATCACTTTCGTTCCTCCACAAGGAACCGACAAAGTAAAACTTGTCGCCACTATAACAGGTCACGGTAGTGATAATAATAACTGCGCCGAATTTTGTGTCACTTCGCATCATTTTGTAGTCAACAACAAACACAACTACACCCGCGTGTTCAAAAACGCCGGCACCGCCCTGGGGTGTGCCGACCGTGTGCTAGAGGGAGTGGTACCAAATGAGCATGGTACGTGGCTTTACGGGCGGGACGGTTGGTGTGACGGCCAAGAAGTAGTACCCTGGGTAGTGGACATAACAAGTGCACTTAAAACTCCTGACAATCAGATCGAGTACTTTGGTTGGTTTAACAATACTGATCCCAATCCAACACGTGACCCTGGCGATATTATCATGTACTCTTATTTGGTGTACTACAGGTATCTGGCCCCGGAGCCAGACCTCCCTCGGCCAATTACACGTGTAGGATCTGGACTCCACATTAACAAATATTTTGATCTTTGAATGATATTCGAACTACATAGTTTGATACATGTTACGGCAGATAATATTTCCATAAGGAACCGTAAAATGCAAAGTAACAATTTCACAAGCAGCCCCTCCAGACTGTTCCATTTTCGTCCATTTTCCCGACAGCCGTTGGAATCTGGCGATCAAATGCAATGAAGCACGGCTGTAAATGATTCATAGCATTATCGTAAAACGACCAGGATGGAGGAATTCGTTGTATAACCTTCTGATAAACTCTTAGTTCTCATTGGCTTACTCGAGTGCATTTTAGAATATTCTCGTGTAAATCCCCTTTATCGCTATTTTTTCTTTGTCCAACGTCTATGATAAATGAAAAATTTTTTTCTCATTCGAAGCACGAACACAAAATGTGTCATTTTCATTTCCCTATTACTATAATATGTCCAGAATTTTCTTACTTGGGATAAAATTGAAACAAAATGGAGGGTTTTATTTTCAGGCCTTTTTAACATATAAAGACTGCAAAATCCAGCTCAATTAATTTTGCTCACTCAGTATGGATAACAATGATGTTTTTTGTTGATTAAACGGTTTGTGGGTAAAAACACAGAAATCCTCATTTTAATTTAGTTACTAACTTTCACTTTTTGTACGAAAACTGACTTGGTTTCCGTTGGTCACCCAGTGCTACTTAATTGTGTTTGTACACAGCTTACAAAAACTGTCCGGTTACAGCAAACTGTCCAACTAAACTGTCTGATTCTGCTGTCTAGTAATAACTCTACAGAACAATGAAAGAAAGATGGAGCAGCTTGTCCCACACAAATAAAAGGAAATAATAATTACTATAATTTATATGATCACAACAATTACTATCTAACCATGGAAACCCTTTTCCTAAACTTCAGTTCCTTTGCACCCTAAACAATATGGCAAACTTTGAGTGAACGCTCCATCTTTTTGTCTCAAAAGTTTGCTGGCTCCTTCTTCAGACTTTCCCGCAACAAAATGGACAAAAACTCAAAGCTAGCAATTTACACTTAAAAACAGAGCTCTTAAAGAAACTTTTCTCAAACCGCTATATGAAATGTTTCCAGCCCCACGGGGAAACCTTCAGTCGCGGATGTCGTTAGTTAATTATACTGTAATTGTATACTACGTTGTGCGTTTCACGAAAAAAGTATTTTCTTAACTTTACTGGTTTACTCTTTATCATCCTCAGGAATAACATCATTTTCTTCTTTTATGGGAGTATCTCTTTTGATCCTGGTCAGCTCGCTTTGCGTTACATTACTCAAAACCGCTGGCGAAGATTGAAATCTCGCGCGGCGTGCGATCTTTTCATTTCTAGGGTCTGGCCTTTCAATCTTTGGCAAAGCTAAACTCCTCCGCTGCTTCAATGGAGGAGGAAATTCCTTACTCCTTTCCTGTCTGTATGGCAAAGGCCACACGACAAGGCTTTGATCAGTGCTTTGTAACGGTGGCAAACGTTTTAATTCAAGGAAACTCATGGGTGACCTTGATGCCGCGCTTTCAGAGTGTCTCCGTTGATAAAACTTGAAATCTCGCTTTGCCGCGTTTGCAAGAGTATCTCCTTTGTCAGCGACGTGTGTTTGAACTGCACTTCTAACGCTTAGCCTTGTTTCCGTTGTGTTTTTTCCGGGATCGATGGCTTTAAGTTCTCGTCGCAGCGAAACAAGATTTCGCTGAATGTTTCGCATTTCTCTTTGCTCTTCTTTCGCTAGGTTTCCCAGCCGGCGTCCTAGCCGTTCTTTCTCTCGCTCGTTCTTTAGTTTGGCCTCGACAACATTTTTAATTAGTTTACGGCGTAAAACTTGTGCTTTTTCGTCGCTCTCCTCATCTTCAGCGACAATCATGGCTTAAACTTTTCTACGATGTAGTAGAAATCTAAAACTATTGCGTTGGCAAGCAGTTCTACGTGCCGTGATCACACATCAATCAGTTTGCATTGCTTCAGTTCTAAAAACGTATCAACTGGAAGTCCCAAAAACGTAAATCATGTATGATGTTTTTGAGAGTAAATAAATAATTAATTTGTTGCTACTGGCGAAGTTTTGTTTAATCTATAGCGTTTCAGAAATGCAAGTACTAGCGGTTTGTTGTTGATAAAACACTAGTGAAAGGATTTTCACAAGGACCTCATCTAAATGTAAAAGTATTGCTTGCCTGTTTTCGTTGCCACAAGACAACAACGTCACCAGTCGGAAACAGTGATGAAAACTTCTTAAACAGGAGCGAATTTCGCAGCAAACATGACCGGCAGGTGTTTCACAGTTTTAATAACACAATCTCATAAACCAATGAGACTTTTTCACACTTTCAAAGGTTGTTTTTGTTTTCATTAAACAGACCGTGACCATCTTTGACTACCGGGCCTAGAACTTCGGTTATTGGTAAGTGCCCCAGAAAAAACCAAACTCCTGCAAACCGTTTACTTTCATGTTTTGACTGATTTCGTTCGAGTTTTATTTTCTTCATCTGAGGTGCGACAACACGACGTTTCATTTAGATATAGAATAGTATACCTTGGTCTTAATTAAGACCTCTAGTCTTCGTTTCATATTTTGATGTCTTTCTTTTAAAGAAGCTTTCCAGTAAGCGTCGATTCACGTAGCACGCACAAACTCAGTTTTCCTGGGCCACATCCAATGGGGTAGGGTAGACTGGGAATGAGATGAAATCTACACAAGGGGAAATACCACCGTCAACGTTCTAATAGACTCCCCATCCGGGACTTCTAACCGGGGGAAGGCGCTTATTGAAGAGCGGTCAAATAAGGGGGCGTATCAAAAACTGATTGAGAGCCAAATTTTGATTAACTTATTATCTGCATAGTAGCCCAGATTTAAAGAATACCGTACACAATGGGAATTTCTTCTGTTGAAGATAACAATGTTCGTACTGAAACGCAACCTGGCTCAAATAAATAACAATGATAGTACTAGTCTTGGAGGGAGGGGGGACGGGGGTTTGTAAAGAGCTTTATGCTATAAAGAGAAGGGGCTTATTGGAGCGCCAAATCAAATCATGGGCCAAATGTTTCTGTTCGAGGCTAGAAGGCAATTCTGAACAGTTTTCTTTAATTGTTGGTATTGCACGTTTTGACTGTAAATAGACACAAAACATACCTGGTCGTTTTTTAAGTGACTATGTAAAGACCCGAGCAGTTAAAAAAATTTGCCCTCACTTTATTTCAAGTTCGTCATTTGGAATCTACTGGAACGTTCTGCATTTTTAACCTTCCTTACCCCATTTTGTTCCAGTCTTGCCTCTTTGGTGATGATTCTCTGCTGGTTATAATCAATAGAAGTAAAGTAATTGAAACTTGAACGACTCTAAAGTTTCCGACGCAGACCCTGTTTTGAAAAGAGAAAAAAAAAAAAAACTGCACGAAATGAGAAATGTGTAAACAGAAAAACTTGTGTGCTGTATCTTCGTAGCGCTATACATATTTGTGTGATACTCGGCCAAAACGTGAGAAATCAGGAATGTTATTTGGAAAACGCGGCATTTGCGTATTTGGATGTGTTGATGGGGAGAGGGTGTTGAACGCGAAAGCAGTGGGTAGCGGATAGGGAGAGCTTTCGCGTTCCACACCACTATTCGCGCTCTTCCTTCGCCATATGACATAAAAAAAAAGAAAAAAAAAAGAAAGAGGAGACAGAGAGACATAGATAGTGTGTGCAAGCCAATCATTTTGCTCCCATTAGTACTGTTTCGTCAGTTGTGGGGTTTTAGTTCACTGTTATCAAACATCTTTATTGACGACTTTAGTGTCAGACAATCAAAGAACTGCGTTCGAATCCTAAAAGCAAGTCACATTGTTATGAAATGCTCAGATAACAAAGTATACGAACGATTTAATATTTACCCAGTGAGTCGGCTAGGTCCACAGCTGACAAATGACTTACATTAGTATTATGACATCACTTTAACGTATCTCATCAGCGGATAAATTAACTTAATGATCAATAATAGAATTTCTCGACGAAACAAGTACTTTCTGTGGAAGGTACTCCTAAGTTAAAAGGGACTAGATTTCACAACAGACACAACACATCACTTTCTTTATTTGCTTCTTATTTTAAGTAATTTTCAGCAAGGCTGACTGCAAATGCATCGTGTTGTTGAAAACAGACCTCAGTAGACAGTCATTATCATGAACTTATTATTTGATTCTAGCACGATTTTCTTCCTCTTATAACTACAAAAAATTTTCCTGGAAATCTGAGAGTTAAGAAAACTGCAATCAGGAAGAAAATAATACCTGCTAAGAGTAAAAAATCGTTTGGTAAGCTCAATAAACTTTTACGGAAATAAACGAAAATAAAAACAGCAATTAATCAAAAGAGTGAATTCACAGCACATCGACTTCATTAGTTGCACCATTGTGTATTACCGCTGTAGAACATGCGCGATGATGTAATCGCACAACACCGCCAAGGACTTCCCTCATGTTGCTGGTGCTCACGCCCCGAGAAGGGTTCCCGGTAAGTTCGAGGAAGAGGATTGGGGAAGACGAGCAGTGATGATGTTAACATCACAGGCTCCGGGTGGGTACCATTTACCATCTTGAGTTCTTTGCGCCATTTGAACCGTCTGTTCTTGAACCAGGTCTGTAGCGAATCCGGAATTAAAATACAAACTGAGTTATGCCTCAGAAAAAAATGTCTTCAAATCTCTCCATGCCTTACATAACGATTAAAGAACTACGATTTTACCTGAGAAGCAAATTGAAAAGATATATGAGTCTAATTACCTGCACGGTAGCAGGAGAGAGTCCAAGTTTGAAAGCCAAATTGTCGCGCTGTTCACCCGTCAAATACAAGGATGAAAGGAAAGAATTTTCAAGGTCAACTTTCTGATAAATTGAAAATCGTGTACGTTCAATCTTTCGCTTGTGGGCATTGGCAGTAGGGACAGTGTCATCAGAGCTCGTCTGGAAATCTCCTGAAATTAAATGATATTAAACAACTAATTAGCTCACTCCTCCTTCAACTAATTCCAAGCTAATTCGCCAAATCTAGCCGAGCAGTCTACCAGCTCTGGTTATGAGAAGGTTTACCTTCCAAATTGAAGGAGAAAGACACGAACTATCGTGTTTTATCCCATCTCCCTTTTTCCCTTGACCCATTTTTTTGCCTCGTATTCTTCTGATTGATCATTTAAAGACACCAACCTATTTCTCGTTGAATAAAAAGGACTTTGCGTCGAAGGAATCTAGCCGATTTTTTTATACAAACACGGACCATTCAACTGGCAGTAACGGGACATAAGTAGATACCTTCTTGTCTCGTATCCTTCTTATTTAACATTGAAAAACAAGCAATTGGTTGTTTGTTAAAGGTAATTTAGCGTTCACGAAATTTAGAAATCTATTCAGAAATAACAAATGGTGGTGACCGTAGCTTTCCTCAAAACAGTTGAGGGAACGGAAGAATCGAGTAAGCCTTATACGGAGCACAGATTAATAGCTCTTTTTCAAATCGTAAGGCGGCTTTCTTTTTTTCAAGAATGATTTTTCCAAGCTGACCTTTTCCGCTTATGAGAACACAAACTATTCTAGCCGTGAAACTTCAAGTCAACACAATTTTAAGGTAAATTCCTCTGTTGAAAAAAGATCTATACCACTCAAACTTATCCTGAAACGAACGCTTCTGTATCAAGATACCGCCTTTTCCCCTTTACTGCAAAACACTAGGGTCCTACCTTAGTTGTTAATCAATCAAAGATGTTCACATAAGCAGTCAAAATCTACATCTCACGTACCTTCCAGTGGAAATGAACTCGACACACTTTTAGACAACGATTTTTCATCACAGAAAGGAAGCGATTTTTGAGCAAAGAAACGGTGCACGTCAAGTGGTTTAGTCTCCATAGCACTTATATCCTCGCCTTACCAGCACCTCGGCCAAACCTGAATCTGGTTGTGTTCGCTTAATGTAAAATAGAGAACAATATCGTTTCCCATTGGTCAGACGGAACACTGACGTAACAAATTTAAGAATGTTTATGTTATCGCGTTCAGTCATCCGTTAATTACGTTGTTAATTAACCGGCCAATCACGTACCATCGCTTTATGGAACGAGTTCTCCAATTCCACAAAGGAAAAATGGTTAATTTAACACTAAAGAACGCCGACTCTTGAATGCCCTGTTTTCAATGCCGATGCTCTTCGGTTATTTATCAGTTTGAGAATATGGATCTTGGGCAGGTGATTTGATGGACATTCTCCTGACTTAAAAATGAGCTGAAGTAATGAGCCCTGACGGATTTCATTTCCCTTTGAAATGTTACTGTTAATAAAGGTGACACAGGCAAACTCGTGGATATACTGTGCATGTTATTTTAACAATATACAGTGATTGTGCTAAAGCCAATGATCCTGTGATTCCAAGAAACAGAATTGAGCCGTCATCTCCACAAGAGTCCTCCCCAGTATTGATTCAGTCCGCCTCACATTTGAGCGCTATTCAAGACGTTACTTCGTCACAAGTACGTTGTTGTAAAGTGGCGTATCTCTGTTACCATAAAAACTTTATGTGAATGGAGAAGAATAAAGAAAGGTCTCTCACACACACGCACGCACGCACAAACACACACAAAAGAATTGAAAAATACGTCGGCTGCGTTTATGTATCTTTTACTCTCTTTTCTTATCAGATCTACAGATTCTAGTTTCAACCAATAATAACCTCAAAATCCTTTCCAACCTATTAACTTTTTAACCGAGCACGAGGGTCGTACTAGCGAATATTGGGACGAGGTCGTGGAAGTACAAAAACGACCGAGGAAGCGAGGTAACTAAGTAGTTTATTACATGGCACTCGTACTAAATTTTTTTTATTTCGAATTTGCCGGCTTTCGCGACCAAGAATACACGGCTTATGACCTCGGTGGAAACCGTCCGTATAGGAAATAATGGGACCAAGTACATGTAGGAACCAATCAGAACACTCGGATTTGCCTTGGAATACCTTTGATAGAACTGTAAATTTTCGCCTATCAATTCTAAGAAACTGTGAAGCTTTTTAGCTAATGTTAATTATTCCCGGATTGTGGTAAGATTTAGCCCTTTACAATTACACGTGGTGTAAGCTTTTCATTTTTGTACTTTGACAGAATTCCAAAACTGAGAATGATATTTTTACAGTATAGAAGAAAAGATTACAACTTTGAAGATGGAATACTATCATCTTTCCAAGTGTATTCTGGCAGAGAGCACTTCTCTGAAACAAAGACAAGAACAAATTTGTAAGTACAGTCGAACCTCGATTATCCGGACCTTAATTATCCGGATTATTCGATTATAATTTATCGATTATTTAAGACAAACTGACTCACTTCAACATTTTAGACCAATGTAAAAACATTTTTCTTGAATTTTAATTGTAAATACATACGCGTAGAGATATTCTCGTAGGACAGTGAAGATGCAGACCATATCTTTTTCAAACGATTTGTGAAATGTTTTGTTTCAGGATAAAATGTCGCTTTCTTAATTTTGTCAGTTTGTGTTCCTCATTAATATTCATATCCAGACACACGATTATCCGGACTATTTCGTCTAGTCCCAACCACAGGGTGCCCAGACAAGCGACGAGTCTGGTTGTTTATTCCAAATATAAAGGAATGTATGGGAGAATATTAGAGTCTTATTATCGTAAACTTATATCATAAAATGTCTGATTTAAAGCTCAAAATAAATGTAAACCTACCTCACTTGCTGTGTATTGTCGTTTCTGTGGCTCTAAATGGCGAATTTGAGCGATTTGGTGGGTTTTGCATCGAACAGTCGACGCAAAACCCACCAAATCGCTCAAATTCGCCATTTAGAGCCACAGAAACGACAATACACAGCAAGTGAGGTAGGTTTACATTTATTTTGAGCTTTAACTCAGACATTTCATGATATAAGTTTACGATAATAAGACTCTTCAATATTCTCCCATACATTCCTTTATATTTCGAATAAACAACCAGACTCGTCGCTTGTCTGGGCTCCCTGTG